GTGGTGCTTCGGGACATGGGTTAGTGGGTTGGGTGGTGTTGGGTTGACGGTTGGACTTGATGGTCCTTGAGGTCTTTTCCAACCTTAATGATTCTGTGATTCTATGAAGCGTAGCCCAGGTAGCCACGCGCAAGATGTTTTTGGTTCTGCCAGATGCTTCCAGAGGTGGGAGCAGGCAATGGGTCCCCCTTTGCCTGCCTCCAGCACCCACCAAACCTGCAGGACCCAACGCAGAAACCGCCTCCTCTTTGCTCTCCAGCCCAGCGCCGGATTACACAAACCCACCCTAGAACGGATTACCCTTAAGCGGTATGGGCAAACTGACAAAAAAAAAAAGGTTTGTTGTGTCCAAACCTTATAAAAGGCTACTAATAATAAACTGATATTCCCAGAGAGCCTGGATGACGCAGACTTCAAATCTTGCCCATGGTTACCTGCGGCATCTCCAGCAGCAAGGTGCAGCCCGGCTGAAGGGGGGAGCCGGCCAGCGCCTCCCAAGCACACACAACAGGCTGAGCTCTGAAAACCCAAGTGTGCAGCATTTCTAAACGTATGAAACACTGCTGTAAAACTCAGCTTTGCTAAGCCTGGTCCTCGTGTCTCTAACGTATTTAAACTGAAGTACTTCATGGCTTGTTTGTAACTCTACTCACATGAACAATGCTGCTCACAATATCGAAAAATTTGCTCAAAAACAATCCAAGAAGAAAAGAACAAAGATGATGCTTTCCAGAGATAATTTTTTGCATTATATTAATAAAATAATATGTATTTAAGGCTCCTACTAAGGTAAGACTTAAATGAAACTTCTGAAAATGCTTATGATAATGTACAATTCATATTTTCACTAAAATGGAAAGATAACTTCAGTCTTTCTGACACAATTCAATGCCAGCAGGAAACTCTTTCATGGCACAGAGAAATTTCTCAAGTATCTCTCCTTATTCTCACTAAGCTGTTTGCACCCAGAAGAAAGCCCGTATTTTTGAAAAATTTCTCTTAGACACTGTCACAAACTGGAAGGCTATGACATATTTTTATATTAGATAAAATACATGGATTTTGGGTGCTCCACTGAGTGTAACAGTAAAGAGACCAGCTGAACCCAAGTGGCTGAACTTCAGTTCTCAGTTTTTTCTCCCAGTGCAGAAGCCAAATTACGATCTTGTGCTTGGCACATAGTCCCTAGGTAGGAGCGTTCAAAAATAATCCCAGTTTAAAATAAAAAAATATCTTGGAGGCAACAAAAACCAGGAATGTTATGACAAGCTACTGCTTTGGCACATCCTATGTTTGCTGAGCCGATAGAAGGACTTCTGACCCTCTTTTAGAGGAAGAGATTTTTGCAGTATTCTGCTGAGACGAAGAAAGCCGACAACAGGCGAGCCCACCTCCTGCACCCCACACCAGGTGTGGAGAGCACACAAGGAGTAGAAGGGATGAAAAATGCTGGACCAGCAGGAAAAGGCTCTACAGACTAGACACACTGGAAAGGCATTGATAAAACACCTACTTTAGAAGTTTGCCCTCACCGAGAATTAACACCATTGGGAGACTGCTCCATCCGTCCGCAATGACAAACGTGACTTGGAATGCCTGCTCAAGGGAGGCTTGCCCAGGGGCCATCCTCCAGCCCTCTGCCATGCCCAAACCTGACGTTCGCAGGAGAGGGGAGGCTCTGCCCAGGGCTCC